CAATAGGTCCGGCGAGGGTTATACCTACACATACCTTTTTAAGATTTTCAGTTGAGCTGCTGGAAATAGCTTCTCCCGCTTGCCTTGCATCTTTTTCAAGGCTATGTGTTCTAACGGGACTATAAGCGATTAATAGTCATTTCCTCAAGGCGATGCTTTCAGCTTTGTCGCGGTATACTGACGATAAAATTAGTAAGCTGCACGCCAAAACAGTTTCCGAAGTTCAACATTGGACGGTGCTGAAGAAGCCACGATTATCATCTCATTAGCATAGCGCATACCATTTAGCAATTAGCCTCACACCCACCTGACTGAGCGATAATCATCACCTTCCCTCAGACACTGTCACAAACGAGCAAATCTGAGGACCCGCTACCGAAGAAAATCACCATGTAATCCCGCCTAACGATGCCCAAAATGACCAGCTGTTTGTGTGTGTGGCCAGCTGACGTTTGACGTCACTGGGCGTGTGAAATGACGCAGCAGGTGGCGCAGCTGTGACAAAAACGGCGCACCAGCTGACTGTCGTCCTTCTGAACACCCATGGAGCGCTGGTGTTGTTGTTAGACGACGAGGGATGGTTGTCGGAAGCAAAATTTACACTGATCGATCACTTCCGGTTATCCAGAGACAAGGGATTTGAGAGTGGATATCACTTGCGGTTCCAGCCAGGGCTGGGGGAAGGGTGATAGCAACCACCAATGACCAAACATGTTGTTTTGATGTCGATCCATATGCATACAGGTACTGCTGTATACATAATGCTGACAAACGATTTTGCTACTAAAAAAAATGCCACAAAGAGCAAGAGCATGACTGGAAAGAGCATGGAAAGAAAAAGAGTCATGCGGGCTCAAGTGAAAATATCTACAGCATTTTAGGCGCAATTTAAAAAAGTTAAAGACCAAATTCAAAACGTTCACGTGCATTTCGAGTGTAAACCTTTTGAATTTGGTCTTTAACTTTTTGGAAATTGCGCCAAAAGGTGTAGCTACAAACTTTGGTCCGTGAGTATGAGTTAAGTTTTGATTGCTGAACACGCTCAAACAAAAGCTTCACACTCACACGAAGTAGTTACAGCGGGAAGTGTCCCGCGACATTTTAGGTTACCTTTCTATGCGCGTCTGCAGTCTCGCGATTGTGGTGCTATTGTCGTGTGGTCTGCTGCAGTCTCCCGCATTACACACGGAGACTGCATTCCAACACAAAAACAGAGCACCGAATCGAACGGAGACTCCACCGGAGACTGCAAATGCGCACTAGAGGATATCACCGGGCTCACGGGCATTTGCTTTGAACGCCAAGCGATCCAACGACAAATAAACCAGCTCGCTTGTTTGTTTGTTGGTGTGTTATGGTGTGCTTTGACATTGGGGTCGCTAACGCCATACTAAACCGTCTCGATATGCTCAGCATAGACCTCTCAGTTTTTGTATAAATCTACACAGATATTATCAACATACATATTTTACTCAACAGACTTCAATATAAAAATACCGAACATACTAACCAGTATAACGCCTTTTGGGGCGACTAACGGAGCGAGCGAGAGGGTGGGCCTTGCACGTGCGAAATTGCGAGGGGGTACCTCCAACTGACTTGTGCACGGCACCCTACTAACTGGTCTCTAGCGATGTGCCAAATTTGGGCACAATCGGCCCAGCCGTTCTCGAGATCTGGAAGCGGCACCCTGCACGTGCGCACGTGCAAAATGGGTCCCAACTGACTTGTGCACGGCACCCTACTAACCGGTCCCTAACCGTGTACCAAATTTGAGCGCAATCGGTCCAGCCGTTCTCGAGATCTGGAAACGACCCCTGCACGTGCGCACGTGCAGCAGCACCCCAACTCTGGCACATGTATATGCAGTGCCTAGTGGGTGCCTACCTACAGGGTGTCCCAGAATTACCCAGACTCTTTTCTTAGCCGTCTAACTCCAAGAAAAACAACACTTGTTTTTTGTTTTTATTTGCCAACATAACCACCTTTAGCAGCAATGCAGAGACGCATTCGGTTTGGCATTCCGGCGACTAGGTTCGCCAGCACAGATGGACGAGTGCTGGCCCATGCCCGCTTGATCTGCTTCACGAGTCCACTGATGCTGGTGGCAGGTTTCTCTTGATCCAGCATTTGTTGCATGATGCTCCAGATATTTTCGATCGGATTTAAGTCAGGACTATTTCCTGGCCATACCTCTTTCTCCCAAAATCCTGGCAAGTTCTCCCTGCACCACTGCTGGGTTGCTTTGGCGGTGTGCGGTGGCGCACCGTCCTGCATGAAGATGGCTTCATCCTGATTCTCCACCAGTTTTCTTTTCAAAATTGAACCGTTTGTGGTCGTCCGGTTCACGGCGTCAAGTCCCTCTTTTGCCAAGATGTTCTCGCGGTAGTACTGGCCGTTTATGGTGGTGTTGGGAGGCACCACGTGCAGATCAGAAAGAGCACAGTGACTCATCATTCCCCACACATGCACTTTTTGTGGGTTCTTGACGGTTTCTACCGCTGGGACGTTTGCACTATCTGACGCCCATACGCGGTCGTTTTGGCGATTAGGGGCGTGGAAAAGGTCAAAAGGGGACTCATCTGACCACATCACGCGTTTCCAGTCGTTTTCGGTCCATTTCTTGTGATCCTTGGCGAATTTCAGACGATGCATGCGCTGTTTCTCTGTTAATTTTGGCCGTTTTTGCAGTTTGAAGGCTCGCAGTCCCAAGTTTCCGCGGAAGTGACGGTGCACAGATGACTTCGAAGTCGTGTAGCCAGCCCTGGTTAGTCGGAAGGCCAGTTTTCGTGTTGATTGATGTCGCTTGTTAGCCGCTAACGCGATAACTCTCTTCGCGACCGGGTGCAGGGATGGTTTTCGGCCGCGACCAGGCTTGTTGACCAGCTCTTCTCCCGCTTTAGCACGCCGCAACCACACGTGAAGTTGGGCTCGACTGATGCCCAGCTGCTTTCCGACACTTTTGGGAGACTGTCCGGCAAAAACCATGCCAACAGCCCTGTTTCGGAGCGCAGGGCTGTACTCTTTGCCCATAATTGCCTGTGTGGAGCTTGGCAGGGAAGCAAAAAACAACTGCCCACCGTTGACCTCGCCCAGACACTGGCCGAGGTCACGACCCGACCCCGGGATGGCGTGGCTCTCAAGGTCAGTCGCTTAGGGACGTATCATAAAAGTATTACGCCTACAACTTTGTTCATTACGGTACAGCGACGATTTTTACTGTAAAATACGAGTCTGGGTAATTCTGGGACACCCTGTACATGCCAACTTTCAGCGCAATCGGCCAAGTAGTTACCGAGATATTGCAACAATTACAAAAGTGACACCTCTTCGTTTTGCACGTGGCACGTGCATAAGGGGTCACCCACATGCATCGGGAATAGTCCAATACTTGGTAGAAGGAATGAAGCTACCCTACAAAAATTACCGCGTGTAAATCGGTCAAGTGGTTGCTGAGATATAAGCCTCGCAAAAGCGTGACCACGGCCGGCCGGCCGGCCGGCCGGCCGCTCATACTCAGAAATTTCCGTTAATCTAAGGAAAGACTACGCTCGCTTCGCTCGCTCCGTAACTATAGTTCGTTTTTCTTAAGTTTGCCCCTCACTGTAAACGTCTCTTTGAACACAGCACGAGAATTGCTAGCTGAATTACTGAGAAAACTGGTTAGCGCACATTGTATTGTAGATATGAATAATATTTTCAAAAATAAGTTTTGAATACAGACGATTTAACGTTATGTTAAGCGCCGTGCAATTTATTTATTAGTTCAGACATAATTCCTGAGAAGTCGTCTATCCCTGTGGGGCTGTAGGTATTGGCAAATACGATTTACGAGTCTGTGAAATAGTAAATAAATTTGATGAAATTGATCGTTTGTGAAATCTTGTCAAATCAGTGTGCGCCAACCAGTTTTCTCAGTAATTCAGCTAGCAATTCTCGTGCAATGTTCAAAAAGACGTTTACAGTGAGGGGCAAACTTAAGAAAAACGAACTATAGGTATGTCCATTGTTAACTTATCTGCTTTGTCCGACTTGTAAGTTGTAGTTTACTTCTAACCTACCGGACACGCTAGATGGCCTGATGTATCGCCGTCCTGACCGACTGCCGGCGCCTAAATATCTGTTCACACGTGCCAGTTACGGACTGATGCCTCCGAGACGTCCATCACACCTAAACAGTAGCTGTGTGAACATCAGTTTACATGGGTGCTTCAACAGGACTAACAAATAACAATTGAAGAATGGTCAACAAAGCACATTGATGACACAAACTATACCTAAGAAAAACTGGACTGTGCGACATCCCGAAGAGTGATAAGACTAACAACTGAGTCCAAACAAACATTCGTCGGTATTTGATGTCTATTATTTAGCCTTTGCTTGGGTTATTCTCTTTCTGTTTGCTTGGAGCAAAGACCAAGGACGGTCAACAATAGAGCACTGCCGTCATAAGGAGGAAACGCCGAAAAGGGGCTGATGCGAAACGCGGCGATGAAGAGCGAACACGTCCAGAAGGAAGACGTGAGACTCGCCAACCTAAGGAATTTGCTGACTGCTGATGAGTAAACGAGACCATTTCAGAGCCAGAAGGATGATAGAAATTAGAGGGAGATATTGGTCTGGGCGGGCATCCTGGTGAATCGTCTGGGTTGAGATCGTTTCAACGGACGAGACCCCCGCTTGAACGGTCACCCAATCGCACGTTAGCCTGCAGCTCCTGAGGAGCTACTAAGTCGGTATCGAATAAAGGTGACTCGTCAGTACGGATCAGGGGGTTATAGGCAAGGAGAAGGCCTTGGCTGTCCGTGAGATACAAAAAACAAAAAACAAAAATAAATACGGAACGGGGGGGGGACATTCGGTCCAAATGTTTTAATCCAGAGTTTTATCAGCTCATCTTCACAGTTCCTAGTTCATCCGTAAGAATCTTGGTTCATCCGACACCTAACGCTCCCCCAAATCACGGCTCAATTCTAACCAGTGTTTTTCTTCTTTCACAGCGAGCCCCCACGGTGGTTCTTCTCCACATACCTCTACGAGGGAAGTTTCGCCGATCTTTGTCAACAAATGTCTCGACATCCTACACAGCAACTCTGCCGGCAGCTGTTCCCTCATTGTGCCGAGGGCTATCGTGGATGGGCGAGGTAGACTGCCATCTAGTGAGCGTCCAGAGAAGCTGTAGTGATAGAGGTGGCCGCAAGGCGAAGACAATGCCTGGAATTGTGAGTGATTGGGCCCGTGAAGTTTGATGAACTGCGGACGAAGAGAAGTAGTTTAGTTCATATTTATCATGTGTTTTGTTGACGATTGACATGTGATACAAGTGTTCTGATAAGTGTTAGTTAGCATTCCGTGGCTAGAATAAATGTAGGTACAAAGCTTTCGGAGGCTTAGTAAGGTGACTAAACCTCGGGACATTTCTAACGGCTGGGTCAACCTGTCAAAGCTGCTATATTTTTAACGCATTGTTACTTTCCATTGTAATCGTAGCGAAACAGTATTTAACACCTTTGATTGTTATTGGACACATTTAGCTAGAATTTAGAGTGTGCATATGGCTCGACAAGTGCCGGTCTGCTTGTTTTATTGTTAGTTATGTTGCCAGTTGTTTGTTGTATGTGAAGAACTGTTGGCATTTACGGTTGTTTTGCATTTCTTATCAACTGTATGTACATGTAGCTGATAGCTCGACGTTTGTTACGCATTATTTATACGCGTTATTTATTGTACATCGACGGTTAATGGCGTTGTTATGATGTTATCGTGTTACGTTACGTTGCGTAAACGCTCTATCACAAAATGTTCAAGTGGCGCATCTGCCGAGAGTTTAGACTGTCGTTATCGTCACTGTGTCGATCAAATATAGCGGGCAATCTAATGCGAAAGCTATACAGGGAGTCCTTATCAATGTCCTGGGAAAATTCCAGGATATAAATGGGGTGGGGGTGGGGGTGGGGGGCTGCATTGAGGTTTTCATTTCATCACAGGGCGAAATCGCCAACGTATCGTATACAATATATACGTGCAGGCAGGCCAAAGATTTCCTCGCGCACGATTCCAACAAACGTTCTAAATAGTAAATTCACATCTAATTACCAGTATAACGCCTTTTGGGGCGACTAACGGAGCGAGCGAGAGGATGGGCCTTGCACGTGCGAAATTGCGAGGGGGCACCTCCAACTAACTTGTGCACTGCACCCTACTAACCGGTCTTTAGCGATGTGCCAAATTTCAGCGCAATCGGCCTAGCCGTTCTCGAGATCTGGAAGCGGCACACTGCACATGCGCACGTGCAAGCGGGGTCCAAACTGACTTTTGCACGGCACCCTACTAACCGGTCCCTAACCATGTGCCAAATTTGAGCGCCATCGGTCCAGCCGTTCTCGAGATCTGGAAACGACCCCTGCACGTGCGCACGTGCAGCAGCGCCCCAACTCTGGCACATGGATATGCAGTGCCTAGTGGGTGCCTACCTACATGCCAACTTTCAGCGCAATCGGCCAAGTAGTTACCGAGATATTGCAACAATTACAAAACGGACACCTCTTCGTTTTGCACGTGGCACGTGCATAAGGGGTCACCCACATGCATCAGGAATAGTCCAATACTTGGTAGAAGGAATGAAGCTGCCCTACAAAAATTACCGCGTGTAAATAGGTCAAGTGGTTGCTGAGATATAAGCCTCGCAAAAGCGTGACCACGGCCGGCCGGCCGGCCGGCCGGCCGCTCATACTCAGAAATTTCCGTTAATCTAAGGAAAGACTACGCTCGCTTCGCTCGCTCCGTAACAAGAACCATCGAGACATCACAATGTTGAAAAAGGAATTTCATAACGTCATAAAACATTATCGTACGATGGTCGGCTTGTATTTGGAGCCGGGGGCGCACTGCGCACATTTCCCATACACTTCACAACAGCGGCGGCCCACCAGTGACGTCATCGCCGTCCCCCAGTGACGTCAGAGCGCCGAGACAGACTCGGGCGCCCGGCCGGTGGCTATACACACGGGATACTCCACAAACACACACATACATACACACAGCGAAATGTTGACAAATATGTCTATTGCTTAGAGACACAGGGATTTCTCTAACGGCATATAGACATCAACTAAAACCAGGTGATAGCGTCGAGACGCTACACTAACATATGAGCATGCGATCTCACTGATGGATTCTCACATGTAAGACAGTCTCACTCGCGCCACTTCTTACCAATCACGCTCCCGCCATACGTCTCACTCAGTTGAAAGTGTTGCATCAAAACACGCACGTGTTGTTTTGAGAAGATTCTCGAAATCATACACGTGCGGTTTTGTGCGGAGCACTTCTTGGATGTTCCAAATCCCGCTCGGCACCAAGCGCTAAGGCCATCTTCAGATGGCTACACAGCCAAGCGACAAGGTGCATCTGGCAACTCTCCTACTGGGCTGCCAGATCTCGCCTCACTGGGCGCGGTAGACAGCACGGTCACTCTCAAACTCGGGCGTCCACTCGGTACTCGTACCTCGGATCTACCAACTCCCCAACTCACAGCTCACAGCCCCTCCTCAAGACACCCCGCTATCATCCCAGCCGTAGAACGAACCCATCCAACTCAAACTCCACTCACAACTCAGCTCACACTGCCACCAACTCATCAGCTCAACTCACTCCGTCTCCATCAACTCCTCAAGTCACTCTCCACTAACTCATGAACTCAATCTCTATCTCCAGCTCAACCAAATACCAACTCTGGCCCTTCCACTTCGTCTAACTCCACATCTCAACCCACTTCGACTCCACTCTTATCGTTACCATTCGCAAATTCCTACCAAAACCCAAATCAAGAAAATGTCCTGTTTGTGCTATTTCCAGCACATTTTTACATACTCCTGAACATTAAATCCACCACTAAAATACCGTCAAATGGCCACATTGAATCCCTTCACGCTTCCACATTTTCCACGCTGTCCACATCTCTCCACACGTCCACATTTTAGCGATGACAGCAAGACATCACTCATACTTGAATCTTGATTCCACGCCAATCCCATACCATAGCGAGACCCATATAAGAGATAAACATACACCCGCTAACACACAGACACACAAACGCGGCAGACGCATGGGAGCTTATGATCTGAATTTGCTCAGTCTATGACGGCCTTTTCTCACGCTGAATGCTTTGTTTCGTAAGCTGAGAGTTCCAACAAACTATAGCTTTCGGCTAGAACACAAGCTGAAGGAACCATCCGGATAGCTTTGATTCTGGAGGTCCATCTCATACGCTGAGGATTAAGCTTTTCTATTGACGATCCCAGCTTGCGAAGACGATGCCTTCTCAATTCAGTCCCGCCGCTCGAAATACACGACAGGACACCGCTGCTCCCACGCTCTCTCTCTCGTACGCTCTCGTTCATTTTGTACTTGGCTCTCTCCTTTGCCGTCGTCGCAGTCAGCGCGCCGGCAACTCCTATAGGTGGGTGCTCTCTCGTTCTGAAATATAGGAACGGACGACGTCATAATGTACAGGGTGGAAAGTAATTACGCGAACATGTATTTTCTTACAATTTCGCCCGTCAGTGGAGATTTTGTATGAGCGCGGGCTGTTATGGAACATGACTGGTCGTGTTTGTTGTCGCCTCATCTAACAAAAGTGACCTTACTTTGAAAAATGACTTGGAAGGTCTACAACACCTCTCGGCTTCGAGTGGTTCTGACGCCATACGCTGCACAAGACCAAAATGGGCAAAGAGCTCAATTTGAAGTTGCCAGGGAAAGCGTTTGTGATTATTTTGGCTGGATTGGTGTGGAAGGGACTCGGAACGGTCTCGGCACCAGCATTACTCAATTACACCTTTGGTTGAAGCATAATAAAACTTAAGAGGACTTAACAGGCAAAGCCGTTGGCGGCAGTAAAACCTCGGCGAATTCAGGCGCCGAATGGGTGGTCACCATTTCCGCGACCAAACGACAACAGTCGACCCGAAAACAGGCGAAATGGTTTACTTTGGCCGGGTACCCGATCTAAGATATCACGATTCATGCATAAATCCGTGAAAATTCGAAAATCAAGCCGTACAAACAATCGAGATGGCCAAAATTCATGAATTAACAGCAGGATTGTCAATTTAAGTTTTCTAAAGACCGCCAAACCTGAACAGAGGAGGACAGGCAGCTGGCTTTGTGGTTGGGTGAGACATCTTCGAAGCTATTTCATCCGTCAAACCTGCAGAACAACGCGTTGGGGGCTGCTGATGCGTCCGACGTCCCGCCCGTCCCAACCTTCAAACATCCGGCAAAGGAACACACATCAGCGTGTTATGAGCGCCCGGATGGTGTCAGAATTGCATGTAGTGACCAACAAGGCCACCAAAAATAAAGTATACAACTAGTGGAACATCCTTCCAGACGAGTCTCTTTATCTAATCCATCAATGCACCAAAAGGGGCAAAATGATTGAGCGCACTTTTGTGCCCGACGCAAAGAAACTCTTCTTCATGATTGATAAAGTCCTTCCTCTCACGGCCAAAAAGACGCAAGACTGGTGCTTTGAGAACCCGTTCTTCTTCTGGGCATATAATGGTCAATCTGGGAATAGCCCAGGCCTCAATTTGATCAAAAATATCCAGGCGACTCTTCAGGAGAGCGTCTAAGAGCTGCTAGTAGCCACCAACATCGATTGCCTCACCAGACAGCTCCAGGAGGCGTGGACTAAGCTTTGGCCAACAGTGCTTGACATGCTCATGTCAATTATGCCTGAACGCCTTTGTCAGTGTATCGCACATAAATAGGAATATATGAAAAGATGAAATTTTCATGTTACCGCCGCTTTTTCCATTGCTATAAGACGAAAAAGTATGTTCGCGTAATTACTTTCCACCCTGTATACAAATATTGATACACATACGCTGTACACATTCGGTGCACTCTCGTTATGAAATATTAAACGGTGAGGTAAAATGAGGATATTAGGAAATGCAGACAATCTATAGGTGGTGCCCTATCGTTCTAAAATGTAAAACAAATGACGTCATTGTGATAGGCGGACTTATGCATGGGTGCTCGCTCATTAAAAAAAACTCCCATACCTGGGTGCTCTGTCGTTCTGAAATATAGAATGGACGACGTAAAATGCCGTCATTTTCGAACACCGATGACAGCTATGGTCTAAAGAGCTTGAAACACAATAGTGTACAAATCTCACTGGAAATTGAATGCTCCCACCTTTTTTTCGGCAAAAGAGGAAACTTTCGTCAATTTCTTACGCTACAGTATGATAAACCAAAAATGCCCCTTGAAATCCCCGTGAAGCCAGATCAGAAACAAATACCCGACCATAACACTCATCTCCGACATTTATAATGGTGAGATGAGTAAAACATCCCATTCCCTGAAATGGTTAACTGAGACACAAATATGCATCATTGAAAAATTGTTTGTACATAATTGTAAAAATATGGCAAGGCATTGACATAAGTGTCGAGAAATGCTTTTTAGTGACGGAGTGGTAGTTGTTTAAAAGCTTCAAAGCTTCCCTTTTAGCTTTATGTAAAAAAAAAACTTGCAAAGGGATAACGTAATGGGTCTTACGCAAAACATGAATTGCTTCATAAAATAAAACACTGCATACAACTTTGTTATAAAGCGGATGACATGGTTTTATAGCGCAACGAAGGTAAAGCGGCGACAAAGCAGAAGTCTAACATAGCATGGGGATTGGGGACAGCTGAAATAAAGCCATGCAAAAGCGATTCGCCACGCTTAGGACAGAACATGCTAGGAAGGCATAAAAGCAAGCAGGAAGCATATATACAAATTCATGCGTACCAAGTCAGGGAAAACAAAGGTGAAAAATCTGGATAAGGTAAATGACAGCAAATGACGAAAAATATCAAAAGTAGACGACACAAGTCACACGCGCGCACCAGGCTAAAGGCTAATTCAACAAAAAAAGCCAAAAAAGGAGCGTAACAGTGACAATTAATCCCCAAGATAGCAAAACGAATACATAAACTGGTCAGTAGCGGTCGCATTTGTAAATCGTGCTATAAACGCCGAAGCTTAACCAATCAGTCGCCAGTAATTTACTACGGTATGATCATGTGGGCAGTCTAATAGTGAACGACGTTAAAAATTACAATGGCGTTCCTTAGCGGTTAGTGGACAGCTGAAGGAAAACTCAGAACTTGGGTAAGTCCCAAGCGTTATATACGCTTAGACGATACAGCCAGGTTCATTATAAGTAGTTATGTTCACGATAGCTGGTTGCCATGCTAAGCTAAATAGCAATAGATACAACAGACATATAAAATAGTCTACAGAACAATCAAGCAACTCTGTTGGCTCTGAACAGGTCATTTTGATCAATATAGCTCAATAATTCTCGTTCGAAAAATCATCACGCGACCCAACAAACAACGAAATCTACACGCAAGTACAGGTCTCGCGGGTTTTAGCGGTAGGTTTTGCACCTAGAAAGTTTAGTGTGCTTCAGGCTATATCTTCGTCGTCTTAAGCTTTTAAGTGTTGAAGATGCGATCGACTTGTTGGGTAACAAACCGGCCATGATCGTGTAAAATGGCTTCATCGTAGATCGATTAGTTTCTGAGATATAACCGGCAATGTTAAAGTGCAAAATCTATCGCTTAACCTCGCGAGAGCCGTACATCCAGTAAAGCACTCATTCCAATCTTAGCTATACATAGAGACTGTCAAACACATAGACTTTACACTGATATAAAGTAACGAGTAGACTGCCCAGGTGTTTTTCTCACTACTCGCCCTAAAAAGCCTCAAGCCTATCGCTAGTCTACAGATCACAGCGCACAATACCCTAAGTCAGGTAGCTTGGAACCATCAAATTCATCCGAATGCACAACACCGATTACAGTGCACACACTATCAAACTCACGCATCTAATCATAATTCTTACTTGCAAACCCGTACATCCTTACAAGATCATCAAGTCAACAGAGTCATCTTCTTACATAATTTTTACTAGCAACTTCTAGCTATTACTTCCCTTCTACTATCGCAACTTACTCCTTTCTCCAATTAACTATTCCCGTCTTTCCCACTGCTTATCTAATTCCCTTCCTCGTCTTCCCCACACTAGTTTCCAACAAGAGCAGAGCACAAAATAGCCAAACTAATCGACACAACATAAAACCCCAAGAAACGAGACGATACAAAATAACCAATCTACCAGCAGAACAGCCAACCAGCCAAACAACAAACTAATGGTGTGAAGTGCTTTAGCGAGGAACATAGCGAGAATAAACCAACCATTTTAACCAACCAACCAACCAACCAACAAAACAAATGCACCAGTCAAACATGAACCAACCAACCAACCAACCAACAAACGCAGCCAACGTAACACACAACAAAACCAAACAAACACCAAACACCCCCCCCCCCTCTTACTTACCGAGCTAGACCGGCGCTATCGCCAGCCCTCTCTGCCGGCCGGGGCGACACGGGCCGCTAGCTCTGAGGTGTCTGTGTCCTTAGCCACGGGTACGACCTCTCGGCAGGTCGGGACGGGGCAGCCGCCGGCGGCTGAAACAGCGCTGTGCGGCACGAGGGTGGAGCGAGATGAGATAGAGGGAAGTCTGAGGTTATGTCTGAGGCTATGGGACAAAGATCATGTATTTAAGGGCGAGATGAGATAGCTGAGGTTATGAGACAAAGATCATGTATTTGAGGGCGAGATGAAATAGTGGGTTGAAGATTGAGGCTATGGGACAAAGATCATGGATTTGACGGCGAGATCAGAATATATAGGGTCGAAGTCTGAGGTTATAAGTCTGAGGCTATGGGACAAAGATCATGTATTTGACGCTGAGATGAGATAAAGGGTTGAAGTCTGGGATTATAAGTCTGAGGCTATGGGACAAAGATATTGGATTTGACGGCGAGATGAGATAGTGGGTTGAAGTCTGAGGTTGTAAGTCTGAGGCTATGGGACAAAGATCATGGATTTTAGGGCGAGATATAGTGGGTTGAGGTCTGAGATTAAAAGTCCGAGGCTATGGGACAAAGATCATGGATTTGAGGGCGAGATGAAATATAGGGTTGAAGCCTGAGGTTAAAAGTCTGAGGCTATGGGACAAAGATCATGGATTTGAGGGCGAGATGAGATAGAGGGTTTCAGTATGAGGTTAAAAATCTGAGGCTATGGGACAAATATCATGGATTTGAGGGAGAGATGAGATAGAGGGTTTAAGTATGACATTATAAGTCTGAGGCTATGGGACAAAGATCATGGATTTGAGGGCGAGATGAGATAGAGCGTTGAAGTCGAAGGTGTGGGGCCGTAGGAGAAATAGATGCTACATAGCTTTGAGGATATAGGATCGTAGGTAATACACAGGTTTGAGTTCATAGGTCTGAGGTCCTAGGTCAGGTCACAGACCGCAGGCTATGTCAGGTGATGGGCCGGAGGTAACGTGCCAGGGACCGTATTCACGTCGACTTCGTAAGTCGATTTTCTTTCGTAAGTAAAATTTGGTATTCACGTCGACACTTCTTAAGTTTTTATCGACGGAACTCACGTGAATAAAAAAAATAACTTAAGAAGTAGGTCAAACTTAAGAAAATTCTTACGAAAATGATCGACGTGAATATGGCCCCAGGTCATAGGTCAGGTCATGGGTGAAATGTCAGGTCAGGGTCAGTCATGGGTCAGGTGAGATTATACTTGATCTTGTTTCATAGGCCTGAGGTTAAATTCAGCTTTGAGGTCACTATATATCTGAGGTCATGGGCCTGAGATCATGGCTGACGCATAGATCATGGATCAAAGGCCTCAGATCATATCTCAAAGGTTATGTAGGAAGTAAGACACGTGTGAATTGAGGATGTCTTGGGACACACAGTCCTTGGACAAGCTGCCGGCGAAAAAGACGCAAAAGCGAGGCATGACGAGGCCAAGCAAGGCGACTGTATATAGGAGAACTGTCGGGTGATGACGAATGCGAGGCAATAGAGGAAGGGACTCAGGGCAGAGAGGGAAGCCCTTGAAAATCGAATAAATAAATCGATGCTATCGTCGAAGGACGATAGCATCGAATCGAATAGTTAGGAGAAAGGTAGTAGACCTGACTAGATACATTTATGAAAAGGAAACGGAAAATCCGGGAGGCAAAGTGAGGGATAATTTCAATAGAAATGATAAGAAAACCGGGGGATAGTCATTCGGAGCAACGCAGTAAGACCCGACAGGGTACCGCGATATAGGGTGGATAAAATATGAGGTAAAAAGCAAGTCAGCTGTATGGGAAAGAACAAAATATGCTTTGTTACAAATATCAGGTTCAGGACAAGCTAGAGGTCCTTCAGGTCAAAGGTCAGGGAAGGTCAGAAGAGGTCACAGGTCAACAGGCATTCGGATGCAGGCGACAGCATTCATAGCATCATTGCGCGCACATAACAGAAGACAGCAGACATGCGAAGTACCGACACCATATTGACAGTTTTCGTGATTCATGGAGCCACATGCCCGATAGAGCTGACAGTTTCCTGTCCAAGAACCACAGGCCCGGTGGAGCTAATAATTTTATGTTATTTTTCATCTTTTTTCGTCCGGAGATTACATCTCGGTGGACCCGATGGTTTTATCGGTCCAAGGAAGAAACACATGTCCGGTAGAGTTGCTGGTTTTATCAATCCAAGGGACACATGCCCGGTAGAGCCTATATGTAGTTTATCCGTTCCAGGGCCACAAAGCCGGCAGACGGAGAACGTATGCTACCGTCTCTGCGAGAGAGTCGAGCGGCATTTTTTTTGGGGGGGGGGATTTCTTTCAGGAAATTGTTCCTCTTTTCAGAATGAGTATCAGGAACAATTATAAACGATGCTTTCCAGTTTCCATGCACAATTTTGTATACCCGTCCCCCCTCTCTCTCTCTTTCTCTCTCTCTGTCCCTCCCTCCCTCCCTCTGTCCCTCCCTCCCAGGGCTGCGGAGTCGGAGTCGGAGTCGGAGTCGGAGTCGGTCGGAGTCGACAGTTGTGACCGGAGTCGGAGTCGGAGTCGGAGTCGATTTTAGAAACCCGAGCCGGAGTCGGAGTCGGAGTCACCGAAAATCTGTCGACTCCGCAGCACTGCTAGGTCTGCGGAGTCGGAGTCGGGAGTTGGAGTCGGTCGGAGTCGACAATTCTGCCCGGAGTCGGAGTCGGAGTCGGAGCTGGTTTTTGAAAGCCGGAGTCGGAGTCGGAGTCGGAGTCGCCGAAAATCCATCGACTCCGCGGCCCTGCTCCCTCCCTCCCCCTCCCTCTCCCTCTCTCTCTCTCTCTCTCTCTCTCTCTCTCTCTCTCTCTCTCTCTCTCTCTCTCTCTCTCTCTCTCCCTCTCTCCCTCTCGCTCACCTCCGTCCCTCTCCCCTGGATAGTCGTCCCCGCTGTCGTCTTCACTATCTGAGTCGGACCCGGTAACCCTGGGCAGCTGTTGCTGTTGGGACACCCGCGCCTTCCGCCGCGCCAGACTCAGGTGCAGCTGGAAACAAAGAAAAATAAGCCGATTAGATATTATATACAATGCATAGGTAGAGTCAAAAGGGAGATAAACATTGATCCGTCGCGACAGGCTCAGATAGAGCTGAAAATATAGAAAAATAGGGTGATAAGACATAATTTACATAGGTAATGTAGAACTGAGATACATATTACGCCGTGCCAGGCTCAGGTGCAGCTGGAAACAAAGAAAAATAAGCCGATTAGATATTCTATATAAAGGTAGACACCAATGACCAAAGAGAGATACATATTCCGTCCAACCAGGCTCAGCTGGAGCTATAAACAAAGGGAAACACGTTCGTTAAATATCAGATGCATAGGAAAATACAGAACAGAGGCCTCTTGCACCAAACTACCTACCAAGGTAAATTCCGATTTTACCTAAATTCTCTTGCACCAAACTACCTACCAAAAAACGCTACCGTGAAAATTTACCTAGAAATTCTACCGAGCGGCATCGGAACTTACCAGTTGTTAAAGTCCGACCGGCTGTTTTCCTCTTGCACCGAAAGCCGGAAAGAAGTACTCGCGGAGGAATTTTTGGCGATTTGACGGTACATTCGGGCTTCCAAAATAACTAGCAAAACCTTGGGTAAAATGATTCAATTAGTAACAATAGGCACAATACATGATAGTCCACGGGTACTTTTATGTAAATTAGGCATTACAAAATGTTTAGACAATGATAAATCAATATTTTATGAGTGAATAATAATATAATTGACCAAATGCTCCATGGGTTCACAGAGGCGCTTCTCCGTACCAAGGCGATAAACCTCCGTAGCAGAACAGCCAGGTTGAAGACTCACTCGTTGCCATGGAAACGAAGCTTATTTGTTCAAGTAATTTAATATCAAAATAATTTCTATCGGTATTTACGTAAATGAAAAATGATTTGATAATACCAAAATGTATATTAATAAATACAATATCCATTTAGTTGTTTTCCTTAGTTACTATTTGTTTGCGCCCACAAATAATTCGTCGCCAAACAGCCAATCAAAACAAATCCTAAAAACGCGAGCTGTCAAATGTACCTAGGTAGGTAGGTAGGATGGTGCAAGAGAAGCTACCGCCGTAGGTAGTTTTACTAGGTAGGTATTTTGCCGATTCTACCTAGCTAGGTATTTTGGTGCAAGAGGCCTCAGAGATGCCTAATTGCCTAGTCCGTCGAGATGGGCTCAGGGAAGCTGGAAACACGGAAAAACACGTTGACTATATATAATACACATGGGTAGACAACAAAGAGAGATACATATTCCGTCGGGCCAGACTCAGGTGCAGCTGGAAATATAGAAAAATAAGCCGATTAGATAGTCTATATAAAGGCAGACACCAATGACCAAAGAGAGATACATATTCCGTCGGGCCAGACTCAGGTGCAGCTGGAAACAAAGAAAAATAAGCTGATTAGATAGTCTTTATAAAGGTAGACACCAATGACCAAAGAGAGATATATATTCCGTCCAACCAAGCTCAGATGCAGCTGGAAACAAAGGGAGACACGTTCGTTAAATACCAGATGTATAGGTCCCGTAGCTCAGCTGGTAGAGCGTTGGACTCCGCGTGGTGAGAGCACGCGTTCCCGGTTATAACAGTCCGGGTTCGAAGCACGACGGGCGCTCGACATTTATGGGCCTCCTGACAGGTATGGTTGCGGTTGGTGGCAGGCCGTAGCCAGGCGAAGTCAGTGAGGGGACCGGCCGTGCGCGGCTACGTGCGCACTGCGCACGTTAAACTTTGGACTCTAAATTCTGCTATAGAACTGGAATTGCGCGATCGGAGGGTAGAGGGCAGGGTCGCCGCAACAAGCTTCGCTTAGTGGTGGCTCTATCCTTGTGAATCCTTCCTATAAAAAGGTTCGGACTAAATTTATTAAAAAAAAATAGGTGAATACAGAACAGAGACGCATATTCTGACAAGCCAGACTCAGGTGGAGCTGGAACACGTGGACATTACGTTCGTTACATTTCAGACACCTACGAATTTCTCATTATCATCCCGGTTACTTTTAAACCATCGATCCCAGGTAGACGCAGATTTAAGCACAATTTCAGTTAATCACCTACAGGATACTGCCGTGAAGCTTTCGAACCTAGACAGATATACATAAAAAGGAACAACATCTTATCATCACCAATCTTTTTCCTCATTATGACCTGTGTTACTTTCAACCATTCGAAGAAAATATAAGCACGACTGCAGTACATACTAACTGCTGTCTCAGATATACACATGAACTCAGTACACTTTTCTTTCTAAAACCACCGCCATTAGCGCACCCTTACCTTGAAGCTCTCGGGTAGCCGGGAGTCCTTCCATCCTTTGTCCAGTTCGTCCTTCCCAAGTGTGAGCGTTATCCTATTACTGGCACCCAGTGGTAGCCGCGCGTCGCTGCAGGAACTGTGAGAACAAATGGTGAGAATGAGTTCCACGAGTGTAAAGGTTATGCCATTACTGGCACCCGTCAGTAGCGGCGCATCGTTGCATGAACTGTGAGAACAAATGGTCAGAGCAAATGGTGAGAATAAATGGTGAGAATGAGTCCCCCAGTGTGAGCGTTATCCTATTACTGGCACCCAGCTGTAGTCGCGCGTCACTGCAGGAACTGTAAGAACATATGGTGAGAGTAAATGGTGAGAGAATAAGAGAAGCAACTAATCATGGGCGTCACTGCGGGTACTGTACGATAGAAATGGCGACAGGATTATTACAGCGGGTGAAATTATCATGAGAGTCGCTGCGTAGTTGTACGGCAGAAATGGTAAGGACCAAAGGCGAAACAAATGGTGAGAATGGTAGCAACATGACGGACAAAACTGCATGAACTGTGAGATAAAATGGCGAAAATCAATAAATATTTACACTTCACAGCGATCAGAAGTCACAGTTCGGACCAGGAAAAACAAACTTTATGGTTAGGAAACGGTTGCAAAATGTTAGCAGCATTACAGAGACGCTACTGCACGAAATATGAGAGCAAATAGTGAGCAATGTGAGCATAGATGACGAGAAAAAAGAGTAGTTAGAGGTTACTACACGAACTTTGAGAGAAAATGGTTGGAACAGGCTAAAACGAGATGTCAGCCAAACTACAGGTACTGTGAAGGCTTAAGGTTACAAAATGCAGAAATGTATAAGATCCGCCATTGGAACTGTTCGTAATTTCATGGGCGGTATTCGTTGTTAGCCCTTTATGTAAATGGCAAGTCAACAATGTCCATTGTGTAACAAATTCAAAATCAAAGCGCTCCTCATGGCAAACAAAACCCACAGAGTGTACCAGTGCCAAAAAGAAACACAAATCGCGTGCCGATACCAGTTCAAACACCTCCGAGTATAAAATCCGCGTGCAGTACATGAACAGGAAGACGAATTGTCGCATACAAAATGATCGTGGTTAACTTAAAAATTTTCACTTCACTGAAGCTTCAATTGATCATCTGAGGAAATAAAACACATGCCACCCAAACTTTCCGATCAAGCACCTTTCAAACACCCATTACCCTGATTGACACTCAACCCCGACAAAGGACACTCAGTTAACCTCCACCAGACACTCAGCACTCAGAGCATACTCCCACATGACACTCAATTATTTACAGCACTCATAGGGTGACACCACCACCGTTAACCAGCACCAATCCAGTGAGACAAACGTGAGGGAGGGGTACTCATAGGGTTCTCCAAAGATCATACTGAAAGTTCTCAAGAAAGCACTCTTAGAGGTTTCGTTGGAGACAACATTGAAGGGTTGTCTTGGAAACTCTCCAAGGATTCTCACGAGAGAATCTTTTCTAAATCTGAGAAAAATCTGATATAGCTTTACAGCTATGCTGTCTCAGGGCATTTCTAGGAAAGTCCCAGGTGCTCTTGAAGAGTTCCCTATGAGTACAGCTCCTCAGAGTACAGTCCCCTCGTGAAGGCACTCCCTGGACACTCTCCCGGACACTCACACTCTGCCGGCGGGCGGCGGATCCAAGGACACCGGCAGGGACTCCTGTTTCCTGTGGAGGTTGGACTCTCTGACTCACTGACTCTCACAGGAAAAACAACTCATGGTACACTGACTCCAACATAGACACATCACATTGATTCACAAAGTAGTCTGCTAATGCACCCGTCACTGACTTTCACAGGAAAAACAACTCATGATACACTGACTCCAACATAGACACACCACATTGATTCACAAAGTACATCTACCAAACCAGATATATTACCTCAGAACGAGCTCACTGGCTCCCGCTCGCAGACACAAAACAGCCCATATACTCAGACTCAACATGTTTGGAACAATCACTACACCAGGCTAGATATGCCGACTGAGCGAGCAGCTTAGCGCTTTTAGGTAAAATATCAAAAAAGGTTAACACCCAGAAATAATTCAGTAGCTCGAGGACCAGCGCCATCAATTACAATGACTCTGACCGTACTCACAGACAACTGTGATCTTATCGCATGACAGTCGGGTAGCCGTCTCCTTGAGCTAACCAGCTAGACAGCTTCGTTCTTTCATTAATATCACTTGATTATCAGACAATTCTTAGCTCAGTAACTAGTGTGCTCACGTGAGCCCGTATTTAGCCCTGTTTCCTCATTCCTCACTCCTCAGCCTATCACACTTGACAGTAAGGCACGCTTATGCCTTATTGGGGTTGAAGGACGTGTCGACTGCGGAGTGCGGAATTATTATGCACCAACTAACGAAATCCCACCCCTTTAACGTCCATCTCCTATCAGTCAGTCCTAGCCTTCCTTGACTCAGACTACCGATTGAGTTCTTCCACTTGACTCACCTGACTATGGGGTACCCCTGTCCGGGCGGACCCTCGTCCTCCGGACAACTGGACGCACGCTCCATCCTATCCGCCCGCTCCGACGCTCCTCCGGCCACGAAGAACGTGTTCAACCACAACCAGCACAGCTTCTCCCTCGGCTTCAGCTTGTTCTTCGGCTTGTAGAGGAGCTCTAGTTTAAAGTCGCCCCGGACGGGTAGTTCACCGTCGACGGGGATTCGTAGACAGGTGTCGCCTGCGGAGAGAGAAGGGGTATTGCAAGGGTTGGTATTGGGGCCAATAGTTTTTGTGACGGAGATGTCCCGATGGCTGTGAAATGTGTGTGTTTTTCGTTTGCTTTGTTACACAGCCGCATTTAACCCTCGCCGGCCGAGGGGGGGGGGCGGGTGCCGCCCCCCCCCATAGGGTTTTTTTCGCGATAGCTCCGAACACGCTGGCGATAGAGAGCTGAAACTTGGCATACCTGACCTTTGATCCAAGCCGGATCTTTTGACACCAACCGCATTTTTGGGTCAGGTCAGGTCACTGACCTATGACGTCATAAGTGAACCTCTGCACGGTCTTCAGATGTCGCAACTTCGCAACGCCCTCACTGCCAGAGGAGATGTCACAGGGAAATGAAACTTGCAGGATCTAGTATCCATTATGAGTCCCACAACTTGTATATCTCGGATTTTTCCTAAAGGTCATATGAGGTCAGGTCATTTTCGTGACCTCACCATTATAAGTCAATGGGGAAAAATTCAAACTGCTATTCTGGCGCCGAGAACGATCTCCAACTATCTCAAGCACACAGAATCGTGATTTGATGCACTCCTTGCAAGGTTAGATGCGTCACTTTTGCAATGTTGACCTTGTGTGACGTCATTTATGACGTCATCAAGGTCATATTAGTTTTTCGTCAATAACTCTTGACCAAATTGAGCTAGCGAGTCGGGAAAGCCACCAATGGACTCAGGAAGACCTGCCGAATCGAATGATATGCGACATGACCTCTTTCGACCAACTTCGTGACCTGGGGGTGCTGACCTGACCTTGACCTGAGGTCAACACCCCAAGTTGACCTGACCCGGACAAAAAGTATATCATTCGACGCGCCTGAGCGAGACGAACACGATGCTGCCAAAATCGGCGCTCTGTGGCCGTTTTTTGCGAAGTTATTCACCAAAAACTGAACCGTACCTTGGGGCACTTGACCTGACCTCAGAGGTCACCGGTTGACCTAGGACCTTAAAATCGGGTACCAATCTCTGCGTCTCGTAACGGCGCACACGCTCGTTTTTTCCGCGACGCGCTAGCTCCACCAGGGGCGAAACGGCGAGGGGGGGTCGTACCCGCCCCCCCCCCCCCTCGGCCGGCGCGTATGTAGAAAACCAATAGGTCCGGCGAGGGTTAAGCCACGGTTATTGTATGCCAACTTTGTATTGATTAGAATGAGAGATGGCACAGCATCATATTTCAGATAAAATACTGTTACAACTATATTGAATTAGAGCCTCAATTAATACTTACACGAAACATTACAAACTACATCACTTATCAAGCCAAAGAACGCATAAACAAAACGCATCCATGAATCCAACGGAGGTAAGAATAAACCTTCCCGCTCACTTAAAGACATATCAAACCGGACCTGACCACGAATCGAATGTCTATCCGGCCTGCTTCGTACCCTTATTCTTAAGCTACACCTCACAACCGCTCTGATGTCCATCCCTGCTTTGTACCTATCTCTAGCTACACCTCCCGGCCCAGCCTCCCATGTCCGCCCCCTGCCCCGTCTCAGATCTATCAAACTAGACCTGACCACGAATCTAATATCATCCGTGCTTCCTTACCTTCTTCTTAACCCATTAACGCCCGAGCATAGAAACAAGTATTCAATAATAATGATTTTTTGGATTTGATGTTGAATTCGGGCGATTAAGAAGCCCCGAAAAAATTGGACCAAAATTCCAAAAACTTTTTGAGATACGATACCGACCCAAAATGAGCCACCGGGCGCCCGCTCCCAGCCGCCGCGCCGCCTCCGCGGCCGGCGCGGGGTCCGCCCCGCCCCGCGCCGATCGGCCGGCCACTCTCCCCACCCGCAGCATGGCCGCCTCCTCCCAGTCCTTCCCTCCCCAGGCACTCATCCAATATCGGCTTATTTTCCGGAGGTTCGAGACAGCCTGACATTCCAAGGAAATAATGTATTTCGTGACTACAATGTTTCACGCAAACGAGATCGACGGGCCTTTCAAACGGCGACCTGCGTCATGTAATGCCGCAAAACACAAAACCTAGGGACGTACCTATGCATAATTACAACATGATGGGAACTGTGGAGTGTAGAACGATGAGAACACATCATTTACTCCTCATATAGTAGGTATACGGCAGTAATGCTTCAATAAGATGATAATGACAATGCGATCAAATTTTCACCATCTGTCTCAACACAAGCTGTCATTTTTCATCGCACACTTTCTCACTCGACATCGCGGTATAAACGAAGATAATTCAGTCGAATTCGCATTGCACGTTTGCACCTCATACCACTATACAGTGTACACTCACGGCGACAGACCATGGTACACCGCAAAGCACTTGAAGCAGATGGCCACGTCACACTTGATACAGCGCTTCGTCGAGCGCAGCTTGCAGCTCTCTAGCTGGCAGCGACGGCGGGCGTTCAACGGTGCCAGCATGTGCCCGACTCCGTCATACCGGAGGCTGGCCGGGATGTGTGACGGCAGCGGCCGGGCCGCGTCTCTCTCGCAGGCTGCCGCCTTCAGGTACGTTGTGGCGATCTCACGACGGAAGTTGATGAGTGACAGCTGGTCACCGGTTGCCGCGGTCTTATGCAGGATATGGCTGTTGACCACGGCCATGTCCAGCATCCTGGTGATGAGACACCAATACCATTTTTTTCCGCGGATCGCCACTTCATACGCACCCAGAAGCTGGTCGTGCAGGTCGACTCCGCCCATCCCTGTGTTGTACGTCTTCAGCACCTTGGGCTGCGGTATCGGGAGGCGCTTTTTGGCTGTCCTGTCGTACCGGGTAGTGGAGGTGGGCGGGCCGGCTGCGTCGTAGTTCGTCATGACGTTGACGACCTTGTTGTCGTGCCACCTGACCAGCAGCACCTCTGACGTCCTGTCGAACCTCTGTTCGTAGCTGCCACGCCGTGACTTTGCCATCTCCTTCCTCTCGGTCACGGGACATTTGTCCAGTCTATTTTCCCTCACTGTGCCCGTCGCGCGTACTCCGCGGTCCTTCAGCTGCGCGAGGAGGCTTCTGGAGGTGAAAAGGTTGTCAAAAAACACCTCATGACCACCAGGATCCGACACCACGCTCAGCATGTCCATCACCACTCTCGTGCCCAGCGGCTGGTCACGCAGCTCAGGACGCTCTTCCTTTCCACAGTACAGGTCGAATTTATAGCAGTATCCGTCACTGCCACAAACCGCCCAGAGCTTGTAGCCGAAACGAATCGGCTTTCCTCGTATGAACTGCTTCAAGCTGTTGTGACCGTAGTACCTCACAATCATCTCGTCAACGGCTAGCTTGGACTGAAAAATACCAAACTGCTGGAAGGACTTGTTGATCATATCCAGAAGCGGACGCACCTTGAAGCCACGGTCTTTTGTCTCTTGCTGTTTATTGTTGTCCTGGACGTGAAAGTAGGACTTGATTTTCAGGTAATCCGATCTCGTCATCGCTTGGCGGACGATAGGACGGGCGAGGTCGTCGTCCTTCGACCAGTACATTCGCTCGCTGGGGAGCGGGTTGTAGCCGGAATAGAGCAATATTCCGATGAACGCCTTCAGCTCATGGTCGGACAGAGAGAAGAGCTGGTCGTTTTTTACATCTCTCGCGTACCGAAGGGTTTCGAGCTGGATGAGATGGAACACTTCGGGTGTGAAGATTTTCTCAAAAATATCCACAGCCGTACTCCCACTCAGCTCGCTGGCGATCTTCTCCCGAGCTTCTTCCGGTCCGTTAGAAGGCGCCTGCCAGCCAGTGTATTCCGGTTGCTGTTTACGCCAGGTGGGAGCGCCTTGATCCGTGCGTCGTTTTTTCTTCGGCGGAGGCGTGTTGTCTTCAGTTGGCGGTGTTTGGAAATGAACTTCCACTTCGCCAGGCACGTCTGCCACCTCGGCGACACCGGTGCATTCGTCATTGCCTTCATCCTCGTCACTGTCGTCCGGCGGAATGCTCACCACATCAATATCACCATCGACAGAATCGAGATCGTTCATCACCGGCTTCCTGTAGAGTCAAATACCGCTGCCGCGGCATGGTGATTGTTTTGGTTCCACTGGTGGAAGACTACGAGCTCAAATATGACACAATCGCACTATCTGCCCTCTCGCGACAAACTGACCGGCGTACCCTCCCCTGTCATTAGCCGCCGCTATCCGGGAAGCGTATTCGCCAATTGTATTACACGAATCGGCCCATCAACTAGCGACATCTCTAGTGCGACGTCATAGCCATCCGCCGCGACAATGCATGCATTGAGGCTAGATTTGAGTTGAGACTATTTTGCATTGTATATGGCTATTAGACATGTATGTGTCGCCGTAGCCGAGTGGTTAGAGTCTCGGTGTGATGGACGACAGGTCGGTGGATCGATTCTTGCTTCAGCGGTTCTTTTCTCTTAAAAAGAAGTCGGTCGTAGACGCGCATTTTTGGCCCCTACGTTCGCACGCCAATATCGTACGCCCAATGAATCTCTGACAAGTGTTCATCTGATTAAGGAATAAGTTGCAAAAGAACTGCAGTTGCAGTCTATACCTGAACTACCAATTTTGTTACGGCACTGTCGATATTCGTCAAAGTCGGAAGAGCTATTATGAAACACACTCGAATGACAACGGATTCCTGTATCATTTCATCGATCAGATAAGACATGTATAGAGATAAATTGATGACAGCCCGCCGTGAGCATGCAACTTAACAACCAGTCCCAAGTTATCTTCATAAACGTCTAATATAAATCTTTTGACTTTAAAGGAAATAGTTCACATTTTAACATGGGTTTTGAACTGGAATAGCAGTTCCGTAGCTTGGGCTGAGACGAGCATAAATCAGGAGCTTTTACAGCCCAACGATCACCCTAGGCAAAGATATTCTATTTCTCGTCCCGAAAAATGTGTCTTGCGTTGAGGATGTGTGCCTTGCATATATTCGCATCCAGTATGAAACGAGCATGGGTCCCGGAAATTCTTCAGAAACTAGAGAAATTATCTACGAGAACTCTAGAGAAATTCGCTCCAGTGAGGCGCTCCAGTAACAAAAGCACGAGCAGATCGCCCAAATGCCGGTGGCCGCGATAATTTCTCTAGTTTCTAAGAATTTTCGGGACCCATGCTCTTTTCATACTGGATCGCGTGTGCCTTACAGAAACTGAAAAGTTCTTCCTATATCAAAAATATAGAAAATAATCTTTTGCTGTAAAAAGGTTTTATTTTCTTTGCTGATCATTTTGAACATAAAAAATCACAAATCCATTGCAAAAAAAAAATAATTTCGTGAAAGTGAACTATTTCCTTTAACTAGATTCCAAGTAAGAGGACTTAGGTATCCCCTGGCGGCTGAAATGTAAAAGTTATAGTTAGGGCATAGCTCCTATAGATGACGCTCTGACGGCTGGAAACTGATTATCTCGTCCCGTGATTACGCTAACAGCTATGCCGAACTTTTTTTGTGCATGGTGATTCTTACACGAAAAGCTATCTAATAGCCTGCTTACCAGAGTGCGATTTTTACTTTTCATCTTAGTTTTCGCTACTTTTAGGTACTTTACCTTGCCAAGTGCCCACCTACTTTCAAAAGGTCAGCGCCGCCCCTGTCAATGCTGCGTGCTATCACCCATTGGCAGTGAGAAATATTGATCAATGAATGGCCATCGCCCAGCACCATTTGTCTTTCCATTGGCTACGTTCGCATAGTATGCACTATGCATTAGTGATGTCAATCACAGAAAATCAGAACACCGCTACCAAACCAAATACAAACAAAGACCATTGGAAAATACCGAAACCGAACCAATCGGTTGGACTGCAAATATCTATCTTATGCAACATATTCATTAGAAGAATGCCTACGTCTGATTTCTTAGGTGCACGCCGTTACAAATGTATAAAAAACGCACAATGACAGATGACACGAAAATCGAAGTCGCCGAGTGGATTCGAACCACCTACCTCTGAATTACCAGTCCGATACTCTAACCACTTCGCCACAGCGATAACGTACCCCATGTAGCTTAAATGTCAATAACTTAAAACCTAGCTTCAATAGTCGCCACCAGGGCGAGGACCGAAAGTATGACGCCACGCTGACGTCACTCAGGAGGCAAGCTATTGGTTGGCCGATTCGTGTAATACAATTGGCGAATACGCATCCGGGAATCCCCGCGCCCGCCACCAGCTGCGCGAGGGCCTGACCTCAGGACCGGTGAGTCCAAATTGGTCGCTCAAAATTTCTCGCGCGCCACGCACCGCCGGGGCGTAGTGAGCCTGTTATCGCCAACGGATTTAGCAAAAGTGGACCTTCCTCAGTATAATATGTGCTTGCTGTCTCATTACTTAGAACAATGACCGAAATTAAGCCGTTTCACTGCATTTCTGTCGTAATATCAAGAAATCGCTAACTTTAGGACCCCACCAAATAAAGTTCTAAGGGTTGTGGTCATCAGTTTCCAGATAACCATCTACAGATAACCCTTCTCATCAATCACCAGGGATTGACAGACCCCTCCGACGAAACTAGTCAACCGTGGCACCTTTCAAAGACACCGTCCATTTTTGATCCGCCGAGCGCTAATGGGTTAAGCTATACCTCACAACCGCTCTGCTGTCCATCCCTCCCTTCGTACCCATCTAGGTACTATACCTCCCGGCCCGGCCTCCCATGTCCGGCCCCTCCCCCCTCACCCTGTCGTCTGGCCGGCTCCACGGCTCTCGAGGTCAGTAGTTTGCGCTCCTTATCCTTCCTCAGGTCCGGCTCTATGATAGTATCCATCAGGGTGGGCCGCGAGTCTCCGTTACAGGCCGCGGGTACGGTACTGCAGCGGGTCTTCACGGAGAAGAACACGTCTGTGGGAGAATGGAGAGATAAACAGGTAAACCAGGTCCTTGGAAAGATTAAGTCACGGGGACAGCACCGCGTCTTCAGAGAAGAAGAAGACGTCTGAAGGAGAATGAAGAAATGCAGGGGTTTTACTGATAAATAAAGGTCTATGGGGGAATGGCGATATATAGCGGGTCTTCATCGATAAATACACGCCTGTGGCGGAATGGAGAGAGGTAGTGAGTCCTCGCTGATAAATATCCGCATGTAGGGACAAAGACACTGGGTCGCGGCAGCTCCTCACGAGTGAGCTAATGTTATCGACATATACTTCAGAGGGAGCCGTAAATATTTCTATGGGAAAACATTGTGTGTAAATTGAACACTATCTCCTCTCTCCCTCTCTCTCTCTCTCTTTCTCTCCCTCCTCTCTCTCTCTCTCTCTCTCTCTCTCTCTCTCTCTCTCTCTCTCTCTCTCTCTCTCTCTCTCTCCCTCCCCCCTCCCTCCCTCCCCCCCCTCTCTCTCTCTCTCTCTCTCTCTCTCTCTCTCTCTCTCTCTCCCTCCCTCCCTCCCCCTCTCCCACACTCACTGGACACTATGTTCTCGAGTGCTCTCTCCGGCTCGAGGGTGATGGCCTGCAGGTACAGTTCGGTAGGGTAGTAGACACAGCGTGATTTCAGCATACGATGGAAGTACGTCACGTAGCGCTGCTGGGAGGGAATGGTGACGCCCTGTGGAGAGAGGGAAGATACGGGTCAGTATCTGAGTATGGGAGAGAGGTCAGTAGAAGCCAACAGAGGGAATGGTGACGCTCTGTGGATAGAGGAAGATACGGGTCACTGGTCAGTATGGGGAGTCAGTTGAAGTCAACAGAGGGAATGGAAGAACGGGTCAATATGGTGGAACTGGGAGCAGAGGTCAGAAACGGGTCAATATGAGGAGAGAGGTCAGTAGATGTCAACACACAGGGAATGGTGACGCCCTGTGGAGAGAGGGACAGACACGGGTCAGTATGGGAGAGAGGTCAGTAGAAGTCAGAACTGTGGAAAGGTCAGAAACTGGTCAGTATGGTGGGAGCCGAGCTGCCGTGCAAAGGCAAAAACTACTATGTGAGGTCAGAGTCTGACCTAACATAGTATTTTTGGCTTTGCACGGCAGCGAGGTCAAAAAAGGCCAAAGCGTCTGTGATTGGAGACAGACTAGAAATGGTCAGTGCGGGGTTCAAAGAGAGGTCAGAAGAGGTCAATAGAGGAAACTGGGTATCAAGTGAGGTTGTGAGCCTCACTCCACTCACAAATGGTGAGAAGTGAGCGAGATGAGGTGAGAAATGTGGAGAGAGGTCAAATACAGGTCAACACAGGGCAGTGTAAATAAAGGTCAGAATGTCTGTGAGGTTAGAACCGGGGTAGAGAGGTCAAAAGAGATATATACAATACATACACAATAAAGGGAAGGGAATGATTCACAAAAAAAAAAACAGATTAAGAACAGGGTTGAACTACAGAACTAGCCTATTCATTCCAAAATTCTTTAAGGGCGGGATTAACCCGCAGTTGGACGCATCAGCTAAAGTACATTTTTCACTCCCAGACTTCTACTAAAGCTTCACATTTTTACAGACATAAAAAGCTCGCCAGCACAAAAGATTGTCACCACCAGCCGAAGACTCGTACGTCACTTACCTTGCCGTCTTTGGTTCGCTTCTTCCCGTAAAAGTCGAGCACTTCTTCGGGTGTAGCGCAGATACCGGCGTACAGGAGGTAGCAGCAAATCATCACCCCCGTGCGACCCTGGAGAATAAAATAAATAATCAGCGAACCAGGTAACAGCTGCAGAGCATCACCCCTCGTGCGACCCTTGGGATTAAAAAAGGTTTATCAGAGGCTTCACAAAAGGTAGCACAGCGATGTAATAGAGATACACGTGCGACTCAGCTGTAGCGTCTAGGCTATTCCTCAAATTGTTGTGTCTCCTTTCAGCCGTAGCTTCTCCCCGCGCCGTAGCGTCTCCCTTTTCTGCCGTGGTGTCTCCCCTCCCCGTTGAATCTCACCTTGCCCGCCGTAGAGTCTCTCCCTGCCAGCCATATGATGGATGACAAGCACGTAGTGCTTCACTGTCCCACATTAAGTCTCACCTACCCTGTCGTAGTCTACCCATCCGCGGAGCCTCCCGCCTCAAAAATTCGTTTGTTCCTGTCGTACAGTCTTCCTACCCTGTAGTCTTACCCTGCCGGCTCTACACTCTACAGTCGTGGATGACCACCCCTGAAGACTCAGAGTCTCGTCTTTCGTCTCGTAGCATCTCCCTACTCCGTAAAATCTCACCTTATCCGCCTTACAGTGGATGGCCACCCCTGAAGACTCAGAGTCTCGTCTTTCGTCTCATAGCGTCTCCCCGCCTCGTAGAGTCTCACCTTCCCCGCCTTACAGTGGATGGCCACCCCTGAAGAGTCTCGTCTTTCATGTCCTAGAGTCTCCCTGCCCCGTAGAATCTCACCTTCCCCGCCTTACAGTGGATGGCCACAACATTCTCCTTGTTAGCATCTAGCCACTCCTGGACTTTTCTGCAGAAAGTCTCGATCTGCTCAATCCGGGGCGGCTTGTGGTCCTCAAACGGCTCCCATTCGACGCGACCCTCGAACATGGCTGAGTCGTACTGACGCTCCCGGCAGCTGTGGAGAAAATGACGTCATTAGTCCAATAATGTTTTATCTATGTGTCAAGGATATGGCTGAATCGTGCTGACGCTCATGGCAGCTGTGAATAAAAATGACGTCATGAGATTTGACAACGCATCCTAACATTGCACAGTTTCATATGATACAACATTTCTTTGAACGTGATTGTTTCGCCCAAAAGAGTAGGCACAACTACAAAGAATGAAAATATCGTATAATGGCGTGGGCGAACCAGTAACTTCACTAATCTCAAAGTCGCCGAGAAGAACAAACACTGCAGAGCGATGCAACTTGCAATGGTGCAAGATAGCTACCATCCCGGCAATCAGCAGCAAGAAAATCGGAAAACCAGAGTTCTGTCACATAAGACCGCAAGTCGCGATAAGCGATTTACTTGAAAGTCGCGCGATTCCAATGAGTCAGTGGGTCGTGGGAACAGGAGAGTGCTACAGGATGTGACTGCACGAGAAAAACGAACGTACGCGACAGCGCCTCGGTAAGGCCTGACGACAGTTTTCTGCGTAACGTGTGACATCGCATGGATTTACCGCGACGCATTGTACTCAAACCTTGCACGGGGCTTCAACAAAGGTTCGAAGTTCAAATCCCAGTACCCTCCATTTTCAAACCAGCACGCTTGCCAGTTTTTTAAATAATTGTATGACTTCCACGCCTAAAAATACTTTCTTCTATCGCCATATCTTTGCTGAAACGACAGATAAACAACTCACGCAAAGTAAAATAATGAACGCGCATATGTAAGAATGTGTCCATCGTGCTATCTCATCAACGACTTCTTTTACATATTACTTCTTTTACGACTTCTTTACATTTTGTATCTCAGCGTTCCCAAAACCAGCCCACACCCACACCACAACTAACCCTCCCCTCCCCCACCCCCAGCCCGCTTCCTCACAGCTGGCCCGCCTGAGCAGCTCGCTGTGTGCGCTGTTACTGCGCGATAGATAGCCTGCAGGCCATGGTTATCCGGTCTCCGGGGCGGGCGGTGGGGTCCGACCGCCCTTAGCAACAGTGACGCCGAGCTGTGGGGGAGGGGGAGGGGAAGGAGGGGGTGGATAGGGATAGGAGGGAGGAGCGAGCATGGGCGCTCTGCACATGCACTTCGGTTGAAAGAAAAGAAGCATAACCATAAAAAGTACGTTGGGTCCGATGAATAAGGAATGTGTGCAAAAAATAAACATATGAGATGAAACATGCACTAGTTCTGCACCAGAAATCAAACAGTAGTAAACATATCGAATTTGGTTCTATGTTTTGACTGTAAAACCGCAACAATTTCGCCTATTATAGTATGAAACTAACATCAAGTTCTGTCCCCTAGCAACAGTGAAATCGGTCTGTAAAACAAATTTGAAAAGTAGGCACCTACGCTAGGAACGAACCGGGTAATGATTCGCCGCTCCTCGCTTATCTCGAATGAGGCGATGTAATTTCACGAAAAATTTAATAATATATGTCTCCTAGCAAAACTTTTACAAAAGAGGCCGATATCAAGTCCCCGCTACCTAACCGTATCATGACTCATTTCCTCCCCCTCCCTTTTCCACTCGCTTACGCCTACAAGTCAGCACCCCTCCTCCTCCTTCAAAAACGGCGGTCTCATGACACAACCCTTCGCTCCCAGCAGGCCGATTTAACCCTATTAGTGGCAGGGGGGGGGGGGGTGTTTTTATCCACCCCTCAGGTTTTTCGGGAATATCTCCGAAACCGCTGAAGCTACGATGCTGAAATTTTCTGACTTTTCCTAAAACTAAATTAGGCACATTCCCTGAAAATTTCAAGTTCATAACTTTACCAGGGGCGGCTCCAGAGCACTGGGAATGGGGGGGGGTCCTATTCGTGAAGCGAGTCATTTGGGCGAAGATCACGATGCTGCACCAGTTTTACGAACAGTGAATAAAAGGTATCATGTGATAACATATACAGTTATTGTGCATCCTCTTTTGACAGGTTTTTGCTATAATAGGCGGATCCAGGCGTCCAAAAAGGGGGGTTATGTTTTACGTCCCAACATAGGTGCCCTGACACCGCCTATGCATTACCAATACAATTTTAGTCGTTCTCTCATAAGAAAATTATAACATAACAAGACCATTACCACCCTTTTTAGAAACAGTACCAACAAAAACCTTATTCACTATACTTTTTGTGTACCCCCAATCTCAATGATCTGTATCCGCCTATGATTTTTGAAAATGCATATTTTTAGGATCCATGTGAATTCCTGGTTCATTCTCTATCGATCGGCAAAAGTTGCGTTAAGATTGGTTCAGAAACCTGGCCGTGATAAACAGTCTAAAATGTATCTGCAATTTGCCCGTTTTTACCCCCCTCTACCCCCCCCCCCCTATTGACATTTTTTAATTTTCATTTTTTAGAAATGTAGATCACGTTGAGCGAAATCGAATGCCGTTTGAATTTTGAAAATCGGCCCGTTAGATATCGAGATATCAAGGGGGGTCGTAAACAGCCCCCCCTGCCACTAATAGGGGGTAGCCAGGAGCCTGCCACTAATAGGGTTAATGAACTTTGCAGGATTTCACATCAGGGACCAGGGTGTATTTTACGCCCCAACAAAATACGACCACTCAGAAGAAGGCAGTTCTATTAGGAGCCGAGGGCGTAGCGCCAGTTATGTTTTTCATTGTTTGCGTTGTATTTTACTATATCCACTACATAAATCATTTATAACATGGCTTACATCACAATTACTTTATAAAACCGTTCGGGATAAAATGCAGTAGAACGAGTGGAAAACTGCGTCAGTCGCATTTCACGCCGTTTTATGAAATCGGCCACTGTTTTCCCAGCCTACCCAATCGCAGTTAGTACCCCCTCCCCTCCCCTACCGCAGGCTTAGATCACCCGTCTGCTGAGGTCACGAAGGTCACTGGTCAGTAGGGGGCGGGGCAGGATGGGGGAGAGAGGGGAGAGAGGGAGAGAGGAAGGAGGTGTGATAAGACTCAGCAGAACCTACAGAGACCCAGCTGGAGCGAACCGAACGCTCGGCCTGCCACTAGCCGACACCCGCTGGGGATATGTGAGCAATATAAATATGCATTAAACACGCCTAAAATGGATGAAAAGGGGCCTTCTGAAATTATGACGATCTGAAGATGAAAGGATGACGATGACGAAAGATGATGACGATGATACAAATGATCTATAAATGACAAGCGATGTCAAACAATTCACGCCCGAAATATTTCTGCCGAAAAAGTCGGCAAAAAAAAAAATTAGCACGAGGCCTGTAACCGTCCGATGTAGAGTGGCCTTCAAAGGTTGCTGTGACATCGCTTCTCTCACAAAAAAATCGTCCCTCAATGCCAGAATTTTACGTATTAAATATGCATGCGTTACGTCAAGGGCCGTCGCCATGAAGTATATCACATTCACGAGTGTTGTAAGCATCCCGTGTGGAGAAGACAAGACATGAAGTGGACGTGAAATCATTATTTTTGCATAAAAAAAGAGCTGACAATACTCAATTCTACAGTTTACAAAGCACTTCACCACGACAAACAGTGATACACCGGTCAACACTTCAATTGATCAGTCACCAATCACCATACCCATAGCAGTGGCAATCTGGAAAGACCGAAATACATCGCATAAAAAAATATTCACCAGTTACATTTGCATCCTCTAGGTCTAGGTATACGTGTTTCACGTCGACTTAAAGAAGTAAATAGCGATCTAAAATAAATAAATTCAATTGCAAGAAAAAAATAGAAGCTACCAAATGGTCAAATATGCCTTGTGTCATAACTTAAAAAATGTATTCTTTTGTGAAGCATGTTTCAAATCGTGTTTCACATTGAGACATTGAGGCTGCCTTACGTTAATTTTGAACTCGCTTTATTAAGTCGACGTGAAAATGCAACTTTAGGAGCTAAGCGGTACTCACAGGTTGAAGAGTTTATATCTCTGCGGATGCCTCTTGTTCAGGAACTCCAGTACCTCCTTGGCATCGTTCCTATAGAGTGTCTCTATGGCCTTTGCCGGGTATCCCATGGCGATGATGTTATCCGTGATGTCTGTTACGGGAGTTAAGGAAACGTGCACACAAACCCGACCCAGACCCGACTTTCATATACATGGGTGGCCATTATAAGTCAAAACACAGATAACAGAAGTACTATTATATTCATTTGTGGTTAAAACAATCGATTTTGCGATATTTCACCAAAGGATTTCTCGTCGATACGAGTACTGGACAATACAGACTGGCGTAAAATCAAGGAAAGGTGGATTCGAACAAAGACACTATGAATGTGTCCCGTAGATCATTTAATAGAGCATTGGACTCCCGGTGGTGAGAGCCCGGGTTCGATTCGCTCCGGCGCTCGATGTTTGACACTCCCGAAAGGGATGGTCTGCAGTTGGTGGAGTCAGCTGAAGCCTGTGGAGTGAGACGCGCCATGTTGCGGTGCACGCTGAAATTTGGACCTGATTCAACCTGGGTTCGCATGATCAGACAATGGACAGTAAGGGTCGGATTTGGGGCCAACGCAACAAGCTCTGCTTAGTACGTGTTAATCTCTGCCAATGGGCCCATTCAAACATTCATACTGACTTGGAGCCTAATTCACAGACTTGGAGCCTAATTCATATAACCAACAGTCAGATGAAAAATAGACAAAATATGTACCAATATGATAACTAGCAAACTCATGAGTAGATCAACAGTTATCTTGTGTACTTATATTTAAGAAAGAACTAGAAAAGCACAGAAAATGTGATGAAAAGATGCCAGAAAACCTTCAAGTTATTAAATACAAGCAGTGTCCCCAATAACACATGACACCTAAGCCCTAGAACTTGTGAAGTGTTAATCTCCTAATCATGAATTCAGTCAAAAGCAAGCAAATCTGTCTTTTCTAAACCAGCATAAAAACATTTCTATCTCCTCTCCTCACAAAACCCATGACAATCATTTGTCCACATCTGACAAGCCTGCAAACCAATTAGTGGTCAGTCTCAGAAAGGATACATGATAGATCCAAGTTGAACTTTCCCTCCTCAAATCTCTTCTTATTCTTGGATACCATGGACTTTATAGAGGTGGCCATGGCTCAGTCCTGGGTCCCAGGTCAGGTCAGGTCAGGTCAGGTCAGGTCAGGTCAGGTCAGGTCAGGTCAGGCTGGTTGGATCCAGCCAAGTTGCCAATGCCTGCAAACAAATAGAGAAATATGTTAGCAATCAAGTAAAAGCAAATATCTAAGATTTCACCGACATTGAAGTCAACTCTCAAGGCACATATTGAGATTCAATACTATTTTACAAACAATTTTGTAAGACTTAAACAAACCAATCATAAATCCAGCAATTGCAAATTGCATTTGACATCCTATATAGGTGAAAGGATAAAAATGAGGTAGTACTTAAAAATACAAAGAAACAGAACAAAAATTACTGGTACAAAAGATAATGAACCTGTGTAGCTGTGAACACTAACTCAGCTACAGCTTAAAGATGCAAGAGTTACATTGAAAGTAAATATTTGATAGCAATACATTCGAATAGACGACATGCATATTCTAAGATGCTGAGAGTACCTGCATCAATATCAAAATATCTAAAAGACATCAATAATTACATGACTACCAAAAGGATGACTTAAAATAAATTTGAACAAAAAGAATCAGAATCGTTACAAACTTGAACTGGATGGATTACTTCACAAACAGCTTGCCAGCTTCCAACGTTTGCATGTAAAAGACAATGAGTAACAAAGATATGGTCAGAGCCATCAACATGTTAAAAATAAGCCAAAAACATAGTAAAAAGATAAAGAAATACCTTATCTTCAAATAATATCACGGCACGAAAGAAACGCGGCAAACAGCAAGGAAGGAGACAAATTAACGATGGCGCTCCAAATACATTTGTGGCGTGATTCCTGTCAATTTACATTTTCATAAATGGCGTCATTAAAATATTAAATACAAATTTATGTAAGGTTTGCTATGATTCTAATTAAAAAAACCATTTTACAAACTATGATACCTTCACTTATTTTGAAACAGAAATGATGACTCAAAATACAAATAAAATAATATTTATATTGACGTCATTTAATATTATTTTAAAACTGAAATTCTACTCCATCTCCTTACTATTGCGGAGGCTTGATGCTTTTGAAGTGCGAGAGAAACATCACGTGGTTGGTTGAATGTGGATTGTTTTTGGAAATAATTTAGACATGTGTCCGATATTCGTTTCATTACACGATTGTCAATTTGGCAAATTATATATGCTCTGTTGTAATTGAAGATTTGTGAAACACGTATGATTTAATCATTTATCAGTACCTAAATTACAAATGTTTCCTTTTACATTTATCTCATGCGGATCACCGATGTCAATATGTCTGTTTTAATTTAATCAGTTGACATCTGCTTTTTGCTTTTTTCATTGAAACCATTACTTAGCTATATCATTTACCTACAAATTTGTATTCAATTCATGCATTTTACTGTTAATTATGTGTACTCGCACAAAGCCCAATCTTTCAATATGTTCTCGATATTGATGAAATTAGTACCTTTACTTCCATTTCAACTTAAACTACCTATTCTTAAGAAAAATTATCATGTGACATTTGCTATCTTCTTTACAGGTGATGATGTGCTAGTGTACTTTCAACACCAAGTATTCTGCCAGCAATATGTCAAATGACATTACAACGACAGACACCATCGATCCTGATGAGCCTGCCAATGACAACGCACCTCAGGCAGCATCATTATCTGAAGAGCCTGCAGCCCAGGCACCTCTTGCTGAAGAATCAGCACATCCAGCAGAGCCGACCTCCTCTGGGTCTGATTCGCTCCCAGTGGCAACTCCTGCTGTATCATTAAATGGGGCTGGTGCTTCAGTTGAGAGTGACTCTGCAACTGCTGGTGATGTGTCTCTGACAGATGACTCCATGATCACTGGTGATGTAACCAGTGTCACCACTCTACAGCCCACTGGTGCTGGTGACTGTGGAAGGATTGGAGCTGGTGAACATGCTGGAGAATTTGTGACAGGCCATGCTACTGGCTCATCTGAAAGTCCAACTGGCATTTCCAGCAAGACTGAGAGTGAGACATTGGAAAACCCTCCTGTCAGCATAGAAGCTGGCTCAGGATATTCACAATCAAGTGGGAATGTGCCTGCAGAACCTACAGAGGAGTCTGTGAATTCTTCAGAAATACCATCAGTTCATCAACCTAACACACCTTCATCATCACACATCATTCCACCAGTATCAGAATCATCATCATCATCCCTCATGGCAACAGATGTTACCATGGCAACTGTAAATCCAGCACCTGCAGTTGACAACACAACTTCTAGTTCGGATTCTGGCCAGAAGATGGCAGCATCAGGTGCTTTGGCCATGCTGGCAGGCTACAATTCTGATGGAGCCGATGATTCAGAAGAGGAGGATACAGGTATGTGTTTCATTTAGATAATGGAAAAATATTCAACTGCATTTTATCGACATCTTCCCAACACATTTTCCTTTATTCTATTCCTCTTTTTCCGTTTTTTTTTTTTGGGGGGGGGCTTTTTGTGTATAAATTGTTCTGCCTCAGTCTGACACCTTATTCCTACAAGTGTATTACTATGCATAATTTTTGTCATGTTGATGTTGGGATAGCATAAATGTAACTTTTGAGCTTTTCCACCCAGTCATTTTACAGTCCATCGTAGGTAACCTTATTTATTCACAATAACACCTTCAAATTTCAAATTTCGGATTTATTCCCGATAAATTACTGATCGCACCCGCGCCGTCGAACTCCGGTGACGTCATTTATCACCCCATTTGACTCCAGTGACGTCATTTTCACAGCGATGGCCGTGGAGCCGGAGTTGACGGTGGACCGCGAGGGACTCTATCGTGACTCTCTGGCCGCCCCCTGGAGCGGTGACTCGGAGTCTGACAGCGAGTCGGCGGACGAGTCATCAGATAGGTACGGCCTGTAACGAGAAGAGTCAGATTCAGACACATAGGAGAATCAGATAATGTAATTGAGACAGTTTATAAGAGGTTATTTCTTGTAGTTTGTAATCAAGCTGCACTGTTTCAATGCTGCTTTTTAGACGTGAAAGCATTTGATATACAAGTTGTGATTTTTTATCTATCGAAATTAAGGCCAGTTCAGTTGCTTTTTGACGAACCCTTGGCTTATCACGAAGATTTACGAACTGATTTTGAGCTCGCCAGTTAGGACTCAATCAATTGATTTTGAGCTCGCCTATTTTTCGTTCCTGCGATGTCTGGAAAGATTATTGAAGACAGTATTTGTGCTGCTAAGCTGCAAAATACAATAATTCGGTAGCTCTAGGTCATTCTAGGTCTCTGAGTCTGTTCATCGGGCTCGCTGTCTGTTTTGTCAGTAACCCTCCCACTCCTCAACCGTCAGCTCCTCCAACTCTTCGTATATGCTCCCTCGCTAGTGAGCCCGGTCGTCGGGCTTGCTGTCCGTTTTATTCACAAACCTCCCGCTCTACCGCCGTCAGCTCCTCAAGCTCGTCAGACTCGGACTCGGAGCCCGCTGCCGAAATAGACAAGGAGGAGGAGGATGGCGAGACAGATCATACGCGAAGTGTGTTTGGTCCGATGACCAAAGGAGAACTATGTGAGTACTTTGTTTGAAGGCCACTGAGGTATTTACAGGAGCTTTCCTTGACTTTGTTTGAGGGCCACTGAGGTACTTGACAGGAGTTTTCTTTGGGCAGGTCATGACTTCGCGACTGAATCTGATCGATTGCGCCTATTTCCGATTTTGAAGGCACACGTTTTTCATCTTTCTCAACCGTTTTACGTTTCTTTGCCACTTGTCAGTTTTCGGTCATGATTTTGCGATGGTTACTTTGCTTCCTTTTTGTGGGCTTTGCAAAGCCCTCACTGATTGATGCAGTTTGATAGAGGCGTGGCATGACGTTGGTGTTTCGAGTTCTAACATCATGTAACAATTATCTTCTTTGCCATGCCGCCCCTGACTCCTTGCTGTTTCTATCTCTTCACAGGCTTGCTGGACCTTCCTCCCATTGAGCACCTTCACATCGTTCTGCCGGAGGATCAATGTACCAAAGTGGGCGTCGTAACCAGCGTGGTGGACTGTCTCGGTAAGTCATTAGATTATCAGAAATGTCTCTAGATTGGACGGTGGACCAAAGTGACCAGTGTAGTGGACTGTCTCGGTAAGTCCCTAAACTATCAGCAATGTCTCTAAATGGAGTCGTGGACTGTCTCTGAAATCTCCAGATATATCAGAAATGTCTCTAGACTGGGCGGTGGACGTCCTTCCTCTATAGACAATGATATTTCAATTAGTAACCCCCCCCCCCCCCTCCCCTGCAGTGGTCTGTGGTGGTCCAGTCTGCACCCGGCTCGCCGGATCTCGACATCGACTCTGTACAGTGTACTGTGTGTACAACCTCCCCCCTACCCACTGACAATGTACCCTCCCCCCACACTGACAATGTACCCCCCCCCTTCCGACAGTGGTGGTCCAGTCTCTCCCCGGCTCTCCGGCTCTCGACATCGACTCTGTACTCTTCCTGGAGAGAGGACGCCGCCCGCTCGGCAGGGTGTACGACGTCATGGGACCCGTAGCCGAGGCCGCCTACTGCGTCCGGTTCAACACACCAAAGGTGAGGGAGCTGGGAGAGAGATTATAGTCTGTTCCATGTCAGGTTTGCAGCCTGAGTATTCTGCTGAAAGCAATGCGAGATTTCTGTACATACAGCTCTTACATTTAAAGACGCAAATTGAACAAAATTGACTGCACTCGCAAATTGACGAAAAAATGAACGTAGGAGCGAACTGCCGAAGGAACCCCGACCGCAAGTTTGATATGGAACAGACTATAGTGACATTAGATCGCTACGCCATGTGCGGATCGCCCACGATCGTAAATACAATACAATATGTACTATAGTGACCTGGGATAGGTCGTGACCTGGGATGCCTGGGACATGCCTAGGGTCAGGATCCAGGATAGGTTCAATGGCCTGGGATGGGGTCAGTTACCCTGGGCCCAGTTTCACCAAGTGCGGTAAACTCAATTTGGGGTAAAATACCAAACTACCCCACTACGAAAGTACTACTACCCCACTACGTAACTGCAAAAATACTACCCCAAAATTGAGTTTACTTAACTTAGTGACATTAGGCACTTAGTCCAATCTCACCAAGTGCCGTAAACTCAATTTTGGGGCAGTATTTTTGTAGTTACGTAATGGGGTAGTTTGGTATTTTACCCCAAATTGAGTTTACCGCACTTGGCGAAACTGGGCACTGGATAGAGGCTAGTGACATCCTTTTGAAAATGTCATGTTTTGTGAAGCACGTGCTCCTTCATTTCAGGAGATTGAGGAATTTGGCATCATACCTGGCGCCGAGGTTTTCTACGCACCAGGTTCGGCCGAGTATAGCCATTTTGTGTTCGTGGAGGCCCTCAGAAAGTGAGTTTATAACTACTTCAGCATCTTTAGTGCGTGAGATGGACTGAACTTTTAACGGATAGTACAAACGCTGGCTGACTATAAGCTGCCGGGACATTTCGAGCGTTTACCCCTCCAGTCAAGTCTGAAATCGTTGAAGTTTTTAGTTTTGTCGCTTCTATTATCACCAAAAAGAAAACCAACCAGGTATGCTATATTATTACCTTTTCCCTTCATTTTACCTTTTATTTCATTCGTAAAAATGAATAAGGAGATGTTCGCTTCCTATTTGGACTGTTTAGTGCCTGCCTATTTCTAGTTATTTCATTGCTTTTAACCCTCGCCCGTATAGGGGGGGGGGGGGGGTTCGCGAATAACTCGCGTAAAAAGCGGCCGATCGCGACGAAACTTTCAGTACCCTCGCGTTATTCAATTTTACAC